ATAAGAATAAAAAACTAAAAAAACAGTTTTTCCGGTTTTTCTAGGAAAATTTGAGGTTATGTGAAAATAGTGTAGACACAAAAGTTGCTCATTTTTTTAATCTCTATAACTTTTACATTTAACATTTTCGTCTAAAATCAATAGTTTTGCCACAATTTGCAAAATACCACTTTTCACCCATTTCAACCCCCGTAATTTCACCCGCGGAAAAATTCAGCTGTTTTAATTATTTTTTCCCAATTTCTATTCATTCCACCTGCCTGAAAAACCCGGTTTCGCCCGGTAACTAATTTTTTTTTTAAATAAATCATTTTAGAGCCTGCACTAAATGTAGCCCAAAAAATAAGGAAGGCCCTTTTGACATCTCCGTGAGTTATGAACCGAATTGCATGAAATTCAATATGCGTATAGCTTTAGCCATATAAAACGCAATTCCAAAAATTCAGCCTAATCGATCAACATTCACAGTGCCCTCTTCGCCTCTCGACCATTTATAAACCGAATTGCAAACTTTTTTATTTATGAAGGTATTTAAATGAAATTTGATACATAGCCACTTGGAATAAAACCAAATTTAACGCCAGTTTCAAAATTTGGTTTTGCGCATGCGCAGTGCCAACTTTCTTATTTATGGAAACAATTAAATAAAATAAGGTACATTATTCCGTAACAATATGCGCAAAACCCAGTTCTATAACGGGTGTACTACTTTACGTGGTATTGGAAATGTATTAACAAAAAACTTACCACATTGTTTATATTCTCCAACTGGTGTAGTATGTACAATAAGGCCCCTATGAGGCAGTACGTTTGGGACTGTATAAGAGTGGTTATGTCGTCATCAAAACCTTCACACCACAATACCACCAGTACATTAACGTTAAGGATCAATGTCACCACCACCACGAGCAACCAAGTAATCGCCTTCGCACCCATGAAGGAATTGTGTTTCCAACACTTCATAACGACATAATGCAACCGACACACACTCCTCAGCATTTCCAGAGTGTTGGAGCCTTTAGCTGCTAAGCATTTCTTCAAAGGAGAGTGGTAGGATTTGAACAGGGACGTAAAGAGGATGAACTGAAGTGCGAATTCATAGAGCGATACCATTTGCAGCAGTGACGCCAAGGAGTACACGCACATGTTTACCACAATCCAGCCATTACCCGCTTTCCGTAATATTATGGGATAGCAGACAACTTCCGTTGCTATCAGAATCAGTGCGACTACGCACATTCCAAAAATCTTCACCTTCTGGTCACTCCCGAAGATCTTCCGTACGCCAAACTCGCCACGATGCTTCAAAATCAGAATCAACCCTCTGAGTTCCTCCACTCTAGCGTCGGTCGTTGCCATCGAGGACAGTAGCAAGGACAACCCACTCAAAAACCAAACACTCACCGACAGCAATGCTAAAAGCGAGATCCAGTCCATTTTTATCGTGCTAACAATGTAAACATTGGCTCCTGTCATTAGCGCGAAGATCGTGCAGAGAAAGTAGCAGATGATTCCGCTCGACGTTCGGATGTAGGGCTCCTTAGCTTTGCTGGTGTGCGGGCATCCAAAGTCGACGAACGCAAGTCCAAGCAGCGATTCAGTTCTCAGCAACGGTCTCAAGAGGCAAATCAGGCAGTGGACGTCTTTAATAAACTTCTCGTCGATTAGTTTAATTATACGCTCTTTAGTAGTCGACATGTTCATACTTTCGTTGACAATAAATTGATGCTATTACATCACATTAGTTAAGTGGAAGTAGTTATCGCTTATATCTCCTGGGGGTTTGAAAATGAACCTCAAATAATTACGCGTTATTACGATGAATTGACGTGCGTGTCGGGTTGATTAATGGATATCCACTTACATGTTGGTATAAGAAAAAATTATCAAAGTCCTCGTGCGAGATCGAAGGGACTTCAGCGCATTTTTGTGTGGCAGATCAGTTTTCTATTAGCCACTTTTGACACCGTCAATAAAAGATCTTGTCGAAGGCTACTACATTCACTTGGTCGGTACCCGCTTCCCACGTTTCCCACGTGCACCCGCAATTCGCGTTTAAGGTTTTGACTCCACCATCAGTAAAATCTTGTCGGGGGCTACCATATTCCCTTTGTCGGTATCCACTTCCGATGTCCCGTTCCTTTCCAATGCGCGTTTGAAGATTTGACTCCACCATCAGTAAGATCATGTCGCGGGCTACCACATTCCCTTTGTTGGTACCCACTTCCGACGTCCCGTTCACCCGCGCAATTCGCGTTTGAAGATTTGACTCCACCACCAGGAATATCGTGTAGGGGGCTACCACATTCCCTTTGACGGTACCCACTTCCGACGCCCCGTTCACCCCAAATTCGCGTTTGAAGTTTTCACTCCACCATCAGTTAGATCTTGTCGGAGGCTACCACATTTCCTTTTTCGGTGCATACTTATATTACACGCACATTTTGGTGGATTTCGCTAAAAACCTTCCACAAGATAGTACTTAATTTTTGGGGCACTTCTCATTGCTCGAGTTTCTATTGGCGACATCAGAAAGAGAGACAGCGATTCGAGATTTACGAAACGTTAAATCTCGTGACGAAATTCGCAACGGAAGGTAAAAGGCGCCCGAAGTTGACTACCTCTCGAAGACGCGCGCGCGCACCTTGCAAAAGGTCGTTAATTTCGCCCTTAGGACAAAAAACAAAATTTCGCCACGCAGGAGTTGTGCGCGTTTACAAAATCTTTCCGACGATACCAATTTGAAAAAAATCGGACCAAACTATAGTAGGAAAAAACTGAAAAACCTTCACGTTAGTAAACTACGCTCGAGGATGACTCCCCTAGCCCTGTCCCTAAGGTAGACAAATTACACGGCCTTGTAGATACACGTACACCCGTTGCCTTTCTACAAGAGTTCTTCTACGCGCCCACATTTGCTGCCAGCCAACCAGCCAAAGTTCCTTTTTACAAATAAATTTGCAAAAATGCGCTAAAAAAGTAAAAAGGCATGAATACCAAAACGTCACGTGTCGTCAGGGTAGCTATTTTACAACGACAAGGGGAAAAAGGAGGAAAAGGGAAACATGTATTTAAACTTAATTTATTAATAAAAAACAGAAAAAATACACAAATGCAAAAAAATTATGTATGGGGTAGTGTTTTTAGCGCATTTCCACAAAAATTAAAAAAAATGCGCTATTGTGGCCACTTTGTCCGTCCGTCCGTCCGTCCGTCCGTCCGTCCGCTAACTTTGCGACGCTACTAGTTTTTTATCTTAAGAGCTATTGTTCTACTTTTTTCGCTATTTGGTTCGTTATGGTGTCGAGTCTTGTACCAAGGAAGGAATTTTTTCTGTACCGCTTACAAAAAAAGTTATTGTAAAAAAAAAAAAAACCGTTTTTTACATGTTCCATAATTTTACACTTTTGCCGTTTATTAACGATCCTAGAGATCGTTTATAATTTTGCATTGCTATCTGTCGCCTGCCGGTTGGTCTCTCCGTCTGTTCCTTTGTCTGTCTGTTCATCTATCTGTCCGTGTGAACGATAACTTTGTTTAGAAATGTTCGATCGCTTTTACATCTCCGTTAGTTATGAACTGAATTGCATGAAATTCAATATGGGCATAGATTTAGCCATATAATACGCAATGCCAAAAGTTGAATCGAATCGATTCAAAATTCACAGTGCCCTTTTCGCATCTCGACCATTTATAAACCGAATTGCAAACTTTTTTACTTATAAAAGTATTTGAATGAAATTTGATACATAGGCACTTGGAATAAAGGAAAATCAAACGCCAATTTCAAAATTTGGTTTTGCGCATGCGCAGTGCCAACTTTTTATTTATGGAAGAATTTAAACGAAATTTGATACATAGGCACTTGGGATAAAGGAAAATCAAACGCCAATTTCAAAATTTGGTTTTGCGCATGCGCAGTGCCAACTTTTTTATCTATGGAACTATTTAAGTGAAATTTGATACTTAGGCGCTTGGAACAAAGGAAAATCTAACATTAGTTTTAAAATTTAGGTTTGCGCATGCGGCAGTTCCAACTTTCTTATTTAGAAAAGCATTGAAATGAAATTCTTCTCATAAACTGAAATTGAAGTAGCACGTCAACAATGGATTGCCCATGTGCAACGCTATCTTTCATATTTGTGGGCGGATTTTTACGATTTTAACAGAAGTTGCATCTTACAAATGGGAAATGAATGCAAGTGGAAATGCGCTTTATGTAAATCGTTTACGATTACTTTTTAACTTGTTTATTTTTATTTTCTAAAACCTCGCCTCTCCTTTTATTATTTACATTTACAGTAGTGGCTAAATTACCACCACCGCCACCCGTACTGCCTTCAATTTCAACACTTTATTAAAAATTTGTAATCCAGAGTAATATTTTATAAATTTTCAGGGCGTGTTTGCCGGCGCACCCATCAACTTTCAATGACCTGCAAGAACCGTAAAAAACCGAAAAGAACCTAAACTCGGTTCATTTCTGAAAAAAATACCGGTTTTCGGTCCCTGATCCCTAGTGACATTAGTATGTTATGGTATCTGATTATTTTAGAATTTCTCTAACAGTTTAGACTGTTGAAAGGTTTTGCTAGAAATATTATATTCCATCCAATTTCACTCTTTGAGGTTTGTAATTTACTCAAGAGTTCTTGAAGTAGAATTGAATTTCGTAATGGTCCTTTTGGTTCAGAATTTCCATTGCACCTGATATATTTTTGGCATTGCCATAAAAATAAACGGACATGCCAAAACTATTCACTCAGGAGGGCAAAATCTTTTTCTTAAAACATCAAGTGATTTTGTTAACGTTCTGTGGTAATATAAGAACACGAAAAGTAAGTACACTACGAAAAAATATTGGTGTAGGTAATCAGCCTCCAATTGGCGATATGGAACCATAAAATGCTACACAAAGCCATCATAATGCAGAAACGCGATACTCAATTTGCGCTAATTAACGCGTAATTATTGCACAACTGCTTTCACTGTCACGCTGACGCATCATTGACAATACAGTTTTTGGAAAAGGATCTCGGCCATTTAACGGAAAACGAAAGTTCAATTAAACATCTCGAAGAAGAAGTTCCCACGACCACCAAGGCGACAATTAGCGGTAGAAAATCATTAATTATTATTGCGAGTACCTTAAAGTTTTTACAGATTCTTGAAAAATTTGACTAATTAGAGGATTTCGTGTGTGAATTGTTAGAGGGTGGCCATTCTCACAATTCAAGTTTGGAGCTATAAAAACTCTGCCGTTTGTTGTAAACGGTATCAGTTACTTCAGTTTTGCCCCATAAACATGGCCTCAGTGCGATACGTAAGTGAACTAACCTACCAAGTGCTCCGTTAATTAGTGTTTTTCAGGTATTCGTTTTGATGGCGGTAGCCCCACTGATGCTATGCGTCCCGGTTGCGAGACCACCAAAGGAAAAAGATCAGTAGGTTCCTAGCGCCACGTTCCATTCGAATATTAACGCGTAAATTTTAGTTCGCACTTCGTCATCCACGTGCCGCATCATGTCAAAACCGTCCACCACGTGAGAAAGGTCTACGTTCCGATCTACAAGAAGGTGTACGTCAAGGAAGAGCCGACTGGTTGGGCAGACTCACACTCGCATAAACATTGGTCTGACGAAGAGGAATGGGCCCCTTCGGACTCGGATTGGTCCAAACCGGATTGGACGAAGTCGCACGAGTGGACCAAACCAGACTGGTCTGCGGCGGATTGGGAGCCGAAGATGAACTGGTCCAAACCAAAGAAGTGGTCGAAATGGGGGAAATAGGACATACAAAAGTACTGTTATTATGTAAGATATAGGTTTGTTATTTACTTGCGTTCCTTTTGTTTATTATACTTTGTTAAGTGCAATTTTTCTTTCTTGTGTTGCGCCCAAACGATGAAAGACTGCAGGAGCATTGGGTAATATTAGATTTTTTGTGTGTGACTGAAGAGCAGCGAGTTATCAAGCGAATAAGACCGAAATGCATTTCCGAAGGGAAAAATTAAAGAAGTAAAACATCCTCTTGAGAAAATTTGAAAAACGAGTGGAGCAATAATTTGGATCAACATCACATGAAACCGAAAAATATAAAAAAAAGGAAAAAACGAGGAAAAGAATTTGAAAGATTAGAAAAAATCCAGGCATTCCCAAGCATCTGAAACTGTAGGTCGAGAAAAGAATATAAAAATTTGCTGTGGCTAGCACAGGTACCACCCGCACATCTGAGCATGCGCGATTCTGCCCAGGTTTGGTTTAAATCGGTACAGCCGTTTAGACAGACCGACAGACCGATCATCGAGATTTTGTTTAATTCGGATTTCTGGTGATTCAGAACGTGTATTTCCGTAAAAAAAGTGGGGGGTTATTCTTTTACCCCAATGCAATACCTCCCTTCTAACGTGCGGGTGGCGAAAACTATAAAATCTGTAGAAATCGAACAAATGCACTGAAACATACACTCATAAAAATATTCTCCATAGACCATTTTCTTTTAAAGACGGTTAACCAAAAGAACACCTTTAAGGATGTTCACTCATGGAACGAAATTGCTGTTCACCTAGTTCTATGGCTTTGTTCTACTTTTGTGACAAAATCCGTCTTGAGGATATTCATCACCAGATTATTGGAAAATTCCACAAATTATTTGCTACTGTACGATTCAAGTTTCAACACAAAACCTTAACTTCTCGTAATACTTTATAAAAGTATCCTCAAGAATATTCCATAACACACGTGTCCCTACTGGCACAGCTGGACTGTGGTGCTAAGGATTCCTGGTTCGAATCCGGGTTCGGGCACGAATATTTCTAAATGTATAGTGGCTTGGATTGGTAGAGCCCCTGGCTGAAACTCCGCCCACTCAAAAATAAAGGCAAAAAATAAAATAAAATAAATTAAGTTGGCACTGCACATCATGCACAAAACCAAATTTGCAAACTGGCGCTTTCATTCCAAGTGGCTATGTATCTAATTTCATTTAAATGCCTCCATGAATAAAAAAGTTGCCGCTGCGCATGCGCAAAACCAAATTTTAAAACTGGCGTTTTTTTTTTATTCCAAGTGGCCATGTATCAATTTATTTATTAATTATTATTTATTCATTTAAATACCTTTATAAGTAAGAAAGTTTGCAATTCGACTTATAAATGGTCGAGATGCGAAGAGGGCACTGTGATTGATGATCGATTAGGCTCAACTTTTGGAATTGCGTTTTATATTGCTAAAGATATTGAATTTCATACAATTCGGTTCATAACTAACGGAGATGTCAAAAGGGCCTTCTTTATTTTTTGTCCTACATTGCCAATTTACGAACTCCGATTTAGAAATTTGATAAAGAATCCACCTGCAAAATTTCTTCGTAGTCGGTCCATTCGTTTATGTGAAACCGTGTTAACGGACGGACGAACGGACAGACGCCGCAAAACTATAAACTCGCAAGGAGCTCGTTAATAATACTCAGTTTGGATAAAAATATAAAACCGGGAGATCTGGGTCTGGGAGTATATACATGCAGCAGCGGGGGTATGGGAGTTTGGAATACCCCTCAGTATATACGCAACACTGGGGGGTATTCCATACTTCCATACCCCCGGTGCTGTGTTCCTTCGTAAAACGTTAATCCCGGAAGCCTCTCCTACTACCATGTTTGATTCTCCCTTCTCGAAATGTATAGGGTAAGTACTAAGGGATATAGTAATATACGTCTTTCGCTATAAAAACCGGTGCACGTCATTGATTTATGAATCAATTTCAGACAAGTTTTCTATAGATTTCGCACACTTGTTTTTTTTTGTACATGTTGCAGTGTTGCAGCATATGTCTAAAATTGATACACAAATCAATGACGTGCAACGGTTTCTATAGCGAAAGACGTATACTATCTTGGTGTGGGTAAAACATAAAACCGGGAGGTTTGTTGAGGGGGCGGGGGGGAGTATCACGAATACTTGCAAGTACACCACCATTACGAATACTGGGGAGTATTCCCCCCTCTCTCTTAACCACCCTGTGGTGTGTTCCCTGGCACAACGTTAACCCGTAAGGCGTTTCGCGATACAAATCTGTAAAACAAATTTACAGATCCTGTTAGACGCCATCTTGCTTTCGTAGGCGCCATCTAAAATTTTTTAAGGCCATCAAGTACCTTTAGGCGCCACGTTGATTTCTTGGGCACCACAATGGATTTCTTAGGCGCCATCTAAAATACTTTAAAGCCATCAAATTCTGTTAGGCGTCACCTTGCTTTCGTAGGCGCCACATAGATTCCTTAGGCGCCATCTAAAATTTTTTAATGTCATCAAATTCTGTTAGGCGCCACCTTACTTTCGTAGGCGCCACCTTACTATCGTAGGCGCCACCTTCATTTCTTAGGCGCCGTCTATAATTTTTAATCGCCATCAAATTCTATTAGGCATCACCTTGCTGTCGTAGGTGCCACATATATTCCTTAGACGCAATCTAAAATTTTTTAATGCCATCAAATTCTGTTAGGCGCCAACCTGCTTTCGTAGGCGCCATCTAAAATTTTTTACTCCATCAAATTCTGTTAGGCGCTACCTTTGCGTTCGTAGGCGCTACATAGATTACTTAGGCTCCATCTAAAATTTTGTAATGCCATCAAATTTCATGCCATATCAAATTCTATTAGGCGCCACCTTACATTCGTAGGCGCCACCTTGATTTCTTAGGCGCCATCTAAAATTTTTTAACGCCATCAAATTCTGTTATGCGCTCTCTTGCTTTCGTAGATGCCACCTTTATTATAGGCGCCATCTAAAATGTTTTAACGCCATCCAATTCTATTAGGCAACACCTTGCTGTCGTAGGCGCCATCTAAAGTTTTTAACGCCATCAAATTCTGTTAGGCGCCACCTTACTTTCATGGGCGCCACCTTCATTTCTTAGGCGCCATCTAAAATTTTTGAGCGCCATCAAATTCCATTAGGCATCACCTTGCTTTCGTAGGTGCCACATAGGCTCCTTAACATAGGCTCCTTAAGGCGTCATCTAAAGTTTTTTAATGCCATCAAATTCTGTTAGGCGCCAACTTGCTTTCGTTTTAACACCATCCAATTTTGTTACGAGCCCCCTTGATTTCCTAGGCGCCACATAGATTTCTTAGGCGCCATCTGAAATTTTTAAAGCCATATCAAATTCTGTTAGGCGCCACCTTACTTTTGTAGGCACCACCTTGATTTCTTAGCGCCATCTAAAATTTTTTACGCCATCAAATTCTGTTAGGGGCCCCCTTGCTTTCGTAGGCGCCACAAAGATTTCTGAGACGCCATCTAAAATTTTTAACGCCACCAAATTCTGTTAGGCATCACCTTGCTTTCGTAGGTGCCACATAGACTCCTTAGGCGCCATCTAAAATGTTTTAATGCCATCAAATTCTGTTAGGCGCCAACTTGCTTTCGTAGGCGCTATTTAAAATTTTTTACTCCATCAAATTCTGTTAGGCGCTACCTTTGCATTCGTAGGCGCCACAAAGGTTTCTTAGGCCCCATCTAGTACTTTTTAACGCGATCAAATTCTGTTAGGCCACCTTACTTTCGCAGGCGACACCTTGCTTTCGTAGGCTCCATCTAACATTTTTAACGCCATCAAATTCTGTTAGGTCACCTTACTTTCGTAGGCGCCACCTTGATTTCTTAGGCGCCAACTAAAATTTTTTAACGCCATCAAATTCTGTTATGCGCCCCCTTGCTTTCGTAGGTGTCACCTTTATTTCTTAAGCGCCATCTAAAATTTTTTAATGCCATCAAATTCTGTTAGGCGACACCTTGCTTTCGTAGGTGCCACATAGACTCCTTAGGCGCCACCTAAAATTTGTTAATGCCATCAAATTCTGTTAGGCGCCACCTTACTTTCGTAGGCGCCACCTTACTTTCGTAGGCGCCATCTAAAATTGTTAGTGCCATCAAATTCTGTTACGCATCACCTTACTTTCGTAGGCGCCACCTTCATCTCTTAGGCGTCATCTAAAATTTTTAAACGCCATCAAATTCTATTAGGCATCACCTTGCATTCGTAGGTGCAACATAGACTCCTTAGGCGCCATCTAAAATTCTGTTAGGCGCCAACCTGCTTTCGTAGGCACCATCTAAAATTTTTTACTCCAATTGTTAGGCGCTACCTTTTTTTTTCGTGTGCGCCACATAGATTTCTTAGGCTTCATCTAGTACTTTTTAACGCGATCAAATTCTGTTAGACGCCACCTTGCTTTAGTAGGCATCACGCTCCCTACAAATGGCTGCTATGGGCTTAATTCCAAAAGCTTCCTTCCATGTTTGTGGGAAAACTGGCTGTGGTAAATTATTCTCCTCGGAAAATTTACCTCACATTAAGCAAGTACCTACCAAAGAAAAATCTTTCTGCAATGGAGGGAGTCAAATTAGTCTTTAAAAATGTATTTTCTGATATCGGAATACAAAATTTTAAAAAAAATTCAAAAATCTAAAGGGTCGCAAAAACCTCAAGGGGAAGTGGCGATGCGATAGGTATCGGGAATAGGAGAGGAACGGTTCAAAAATAATTGTAGAATTAAAAAAAATCTTTTCGATGCAATGGTGAAAAGGGTGTTCAAATCTTAAACCCAAATGGGTCGTTCATGGAACGAGAGGTGAATGTGTTGACCCTTCAAGTCATTCAATGCATTGCATTAAATTGGGAATTCCCGTAACTTGAAATTAGAATTTGAAACTAACACCCTGAAAGGAAGTAACAACTTCGATCATTAATAAGACTGTTTATTAGAAACGGCCACCATGGACAAATTG